AAGACAATAGACAAATAAACTAGCTTATAGTTTATTTGATTAGCTTATGGCTATGTTTGATAAAACTATCTGATAGCTGATAAGCTAGTTGATAGCGTATCTATAATTTTCGAGCTTATTGCTTATAGCTTATGACTTATAGCTGAAAAACTAGCTTATATAATAAAAGTGTTTAATAAAATTAGCTGATAAGCTAGCTGGAATAAAAAATTCAACTAACTTATTTAAAAAACTACCTAAAAAAGCTTATCAAATAAGCTCGAGTCCTACCAAACGAAGCTTATTTAAATACAGGGAGCTTATAAACTAATCAAATAAGGTATAAACTAACTTATTGGTCTACCAAACATAGCCTATAAGTTTCTTGTATTCAAATAAGTTCCGTAAAACGAGTAAAAAAAACACTCAAGCTTATTTGGGTAGCTTTCCAGATAAGCTCCTTGAAATTTTTTTCAGCTAGCTTATCAGCTAATTTTTACCAAATACTTTTATCATATACGCTAGTTTTTCAACAATAAGTCATAAATTACAAGCTCAAAAATTACTGATAAAAAATAAGCTAGTTTATCAACCAGTTTAACCAAAATAGCCAAAGTAGACGAATCAATATGTGACTGCCATCTTGAAAAAAAGAAATACAAAATAAAAATCCTACATCATAAATGGTTCTAATTCCACCCTAAAATAGGTCCATATAATATTAGGATATTTTCATCAAGATTTGTAAATTGGGTTGACTAAATTTCACATTTCTGAGCATCAAACCTCCGGCCATTTAAAGATATGAAGCAAACATGCTATTGCAAAAACTATCTCACAAGTCTCAATATAAAGAAAGCTGTGTTTTCTTCAGAACAGTGACAATGGAGAAAAAGAGAAATTCTCATTACATAAGATTTCATAACCCAAAACAACAATAAAAATCTAGATCGCTCGACTTTGTGCAGCCAACAAAATCAACATGAGCCCATTAACTGCAAAAAGTAACCCCACGAGTTTAGATTGGAATGAGTTGCCTGCACATACACGTACTCGTAAATGACATAATCAACGAACCTAAGGCTATGTTTGGTAACCAAATAAGGTAGCTTATATAACTTATTTAGTTAGTTTATATAAGCTTCTTGTATTTAGATAAGCTTCGTTTGATAGGACGAGCTTTTATCTCATAAGTTTCTTTGGGCTTTTCAAATAAGCTCGTTGATATATATATATTTTTTTTTTTTTGCAACTAATTTACCAAACATTTTTATCATATAAGCTAGCTTTTATAGTTAGTTTTTCTACTATTAGTCATAAGTTATAAGCCCGAAAATCACTTACAAGCTATAGCTTGAAAATCACTTATAAGCTATAAGTTAGTTTAGAGCTTATATTAGCTAGTTTTACCAAATATAGCTTGAATCTAAATATAAAAGAAGGCAAAATATAAAGTTACGCATCAAGCACAAACCTCTAAATATATAGAAGGAGAAAGTAATCCCAATAGTAAGAAACATGATCTTACCCTATACTACAATTTTCTCCGAAACATATAAGTTTCCTAACCAGTTGTACAGAGACATGATATTACGTAAATCGCAGATATTCAACTCTTAAAATTGGAACACGTATCATGGTTCATATGCATCACAATGTCCAGGACAATAAAGACCAGATAGGCAATAACAACACAGACTTTATAGACTCCAAATGCCAAGTAACTACATTACACAACAAGATCCATGATCTTACCTATACAACAAATTTCTAGATAACCTATAAAATTTCCAAACCATTTGTAGGGACACAAGAAATTAATTGGAAAACATTGCAAGGTCACTGTCTACGTTTCATGTGCAACTTCATAGACTCGGCATGCTAATTGACAAAGCATGGCATTTATATTGTCATTGCTCGACACTCAAACAGACACAAAAAAAATACGTCTATGATCGAATTTTGACACAGTTACAACATCAATAAGTGAAGGATCAATCCAATTATGCAAAACTAACTAACTACAAATTTATCGAAACTCGTAGAATTGCAAAACGGAAATGCGCCCGAGCAACAAGCTATCATTCGAACATCAATATGGCTAAAGTGTAACCAGCATAAATCAACAAAAAAATTTAACAGCCCAACAAAAGGGAGGTCGAAATTTCACCTCAAATGTTGCTCGGGTACATGAAGACTCTCACTCTATCACCCTGTTTCCACAGATTCATAGCCATAAGCAAAAACGAGAAGCTCAACTAGAAAAAAAAAAGTGAAAAACAAAACAGAACAACAAAAAAATGAAAACTTCAAGTTGACATTGCAACTAACCATGGATTTCGGTGGGAGATTCGACGTGAACTTGGCGCGAACGACGCCGCTGTTGCCGTGAGGGCGCGTGACCTTCCCCCAAATGCAGCGGTAGTGAGAACCGTTCTTCTTCACCTTCGCCTTGTAAATGTACGCCATTCGCTTCCCAAGGTACCACGCAACCTCCTCCTGCGTGTTCACCCCTTCAATCTGGATCAACGACGTGTTTGGGTACTGATTCGACTTCGACCTTAAACCATCAAAACACCACATAAGATCTCAATCCTCAACCAAACGAGGCCTTAATTTCAAAACCCCCGCTGAGATTTTCGATTCTACCTTTTGTAGCCGAGGATGGTCCCACGGACGTATAGCCTCACGCGCTCTCCTTGGCGGCCCTTCACCATTTTTGCTCTGAGAAGAAAGCTTCGGCGAGCTCGATAAGTGATGGCAAGTGATAATAAGCAGAAACCCTAAATGCTAAAGTCAGTGGGCTCGTTCTTTAATACTCACAAACACTATTGGGTTTATTGTGAAGCTGTTGTTATTGGGCCGGAAGGCAATACCTATAAAGGACAGTATATTATTAGAGAAAATTGCATGTCATACGTATAAACTTAAAATATATAACACTTTTGTTTCCATTATATATTTATTTTTAAAATCACCTAAACAATATAAAATATTTTCAATTATACCTAATAACAGTTATTAACATTTTTTTGATATTATTGAGATAATTATGTCAAATTAAATATCCACTTCTCCAAACCACCCCACCGCCCCACTTACCCCTTCATTCTGCAAAACCGTTCCCCAATTTTACACTAGAGGAATCAGATTGCAAACCCTAGATGCCATGAAGAACAAACGAGTACATTCCGAGGACGCAGCGGACGGAGATAATGATGCCAAGCGCCAGAAGGTGGTCGCGCAATCTTCGCCCCTCGAAAACCATCTACTGCCGCTCACTTCCTACGACGACGACGACGACGAGGAGGAGGAAGAGGAAAATGGCAGAAATGGCGGTACAACTGTTAGTGACGGCGGAGGATCCGATCATGAAGGCGAGAACCGCCGCCGGCAAGAAGAAGACGAAGACGAAGAAGAAGATGACGCAGGAAAAGGCAGGCGATGTCGTGCGATTGAAGTGAGAAGGGTCTGTCCTTATCTTGATACTGTCAATAGACATGTACTGAGTTGAAAATGTATATAATTCGAAGGTATATTTACAAAACCGAGTTGGTATATGTTGGGTATATCCGAGTATATCCGAAGTAACTTTTCTCTGGTTATTTGTTTAATAATTCCTTTTTTCTTGGGGTTATATGTTGGGTATATCCGAGTATATCCGAAGTAACTTTTATCTGGAATACTTGTTTTTTATTGCACATATACTGAATATGTACTAACATAAACTCAAAAAATACCACCTGGCGGCTGCGTGAATTATAATATTGCAACATAACTGAATATATATTAACATAAACTCAAAATATATTACCTGGACGACTGCTTGAGTGGAATATATACTAACATAAACTCAAAATATACTAACATAAACTCAATTTTTTTTTTCTTTTTGCTCCTGGTAGACATGGCGGAAATCACGGGACCTTCAGCTGGAGTGGTTACGTTATATTGTAACTGATCTTGATACAACATAATAAATAAATTAGTTTCTTTAGGTATATTTGTAAATACTTTCAAATAAGGTAAAATTGAAAATATTAATTTTTCTTATGGATGAAAATTTCCCATATTATTATTGGTCCAAAAGGAAAAACAAACGAGGCCCAGTGTATTGTTGTGAATCTGTTATTATTGATTGGACCAAATTTCAACCTACATGCAC